CCATCCCTTGGATAGAGACCTTGATGACCCCAGCTAAGGAGAGCTGGCCTCACCCCTCACCATGGATGTGGAAGAGCTGGATCCACCACTCAACCAAGAGGGGTGGGCCCAGTGGCCAGGGTTCTCCAACTCAGCTACCACCCAAGCACTGAATTTAGAAATAGAAGAATATGCTAGTGACAGAAAGACTTCTAAGGTGCATATATTAGAAGACTCAATATTCTGAAAATAGCCAACCTACCGTGGTGACTTGATTGTAATTGGCCCCTATAATCTCATAGAAAGTGACACTATGAGGAGGTGTGGCTTTGTTGGAGTGGGTATGGCTTTGTTGGAGGAAATGTGTCCCTGTGCTCAGGATACCACCTGTGTCAGCTCCCTTTCACTTTCAAGCAAAAATGTATCCAGTATCTTGTCTACATACAAGTTGCCATGCTCCCTGTCATGAGGATAATGGACTGAGAGTTGTCCTAGTCATGGTGTCTCTGAACAACAATAGAAACCCTAACTAAGACACCACCAAAGTCAGTCTACAGATTCAGTGCAACCACTGTCAAAATTCCAATGCAATTCTTCACTGAAATTTAAAATGTTATGCAAAATAATAAAAGCAGCACAATATTCTCATTAAAATGAGCAGTTATCAATAGGACAGAAACAAGGACATAGATAATAGTCATGCTCCTACAGCCACCTAATTTCTGACAGAGTCCAAAATAACACACCTAGAAAAAGACAGAATCTTTACCAAATGGTGCTGGTTAAAATGAATAGCTACATGTAGAAGAAATAAACATCCATATCTCTCTCTCTGCACAAAACCTACCCTGAAGCTGGATTATGGAATGCAACACAAAATCTGATGTCCCGAATCCATTAGAGGAGATATTGGAGGATACATTTAAATTAATAGGAACAAGAAAGAACTTTCTAAACAGAATCCAGATAGCCCTACCATTTAGAGGAACCACTGAGTAATAGGACCTCATGAACTGGAAAAGCTTCTACAGAGGAGTGGACACCATCTTTGTTGTGAAGAAGCCATCTACAGGTTTGAAAAAAAAATAGAACTTGACAACTGTCATATAATTAGTTACAAAGTAGAAAGTACAAGTAAGGAATTGTTTTAGATTATGAATATTTCTATATAGAGCTTAGAATACTATGATCACCTTTCCTTATATTATGACATCACTTTAAAACCAGTCCTCTGTGGGTATTCTTGACTGGTTCAATGAAAAGGAATGTTAAGGTAAATACAGCTCTGTACCATCCCAACCTTGATACAGCTTCCAAATAAGTTTTCTTTAGTTCATGTAAAAACTGAATATATGTTTAAGCCAACAAATATCAAGTGCTAATTTTGATGAAAGTTTTGTGAAATAAAGTTTGAAGTGAAATGACTTTTATACATTTTTTTAAAAATCTCTATGACAAAACACTCTTCAAGCTAATGGCACATTTGTTTGGTAAAGTGTAAGCAAACTAGAATTTCCATCGCTGTGGATGCTGTCGGCTTGCCAGCCAATGTTTAATTTTCCTAAAATGTTATTAAAGAAAGGCATAAAAATGATCACTATTTTATCTGTACAGATGTTAATGTTTTAATTCTCATATAGTTAGGAGAATATTTTTAAATTATTTGAATTGCACTTATTAAATTCTCTATTTGTCTTGGCTAAAATTTTGTAATACTGAAGTCTTGATTTAGAAGAGTTTAAAACTTTGGAGACTCTCAAATTATCTCTGAGACCTCTCTGATCTTCAAGCAGAACTACCTGTAACATTTTGTTCCAGACAGTCTGAACAATAATGATTGCTGCCCACTCTTCCCCCACCTAAAAGATCAAAACGTGAAAATGTTACTGCTTCATTGATTTAATTTGGCATAGGTTGCTGAACAACTGCAATAGTCCAAATGTTCACTGACACCCTGAAATAAAGATATTTGCATTCCCAATTACATTCTCATGATGGAAGACAAGTGTGCATGCTGTTTACAAAAGCCATGCTATCACACAGACGAGGGACTCTATTTCTGGTTAACAGTGGAGACAAAGGCAAAGGTGGGAGTGTGCTTGGGACAAATAAATTAACCATGGGAATGAGCAAACAAAGGCCCAAGGATAAGTGGTCTGTGGGTGAGCCTGAGCTAAATGATGATTGTTATTGATAAAGATGACGGGAAGCTAACTGGAAGTGTACGCAGTGCAGGGCAATGGATCCGGGTGAATGGTGCCTCTGATTTCAGTCCTCAAACACTTTCTGTAATCTTGTGTTCCATTTAAGACACTTTTAGCCTGCATGCAAAAACAATCTTTGATGCCCCTATGAGACAAAATTCTACTCTAAGCCAAGAGTCTAGCATTCCAGAAATGTAAGCCATGGTACAGAAATCCAAATTCAATTCATCAACACCATCTGTATTACCAGCTGTTCACCTTTCAGGCTTTCTTTCATATCTCAAGTACCCCATGTTCATAAGCCAATAAAATATTAAGGAGAGTGCTCCTCATGTGTTCTCAGGTCCTCTATCTCAAAACTATCCCCCCCATTGATGTTGCTTATGCCACCTGAGAAACAAATTGTATTTATTTGTCTTGGGGCTATTTAGGAATGTCTAGTAGTGTCTTCATCTGAAAAAAATCTGAAAGCACAGCGCAGAGGAACAGCATGTGTTTCTGTGAGTTTGTCAGGATGGTCACATTCAGCAAATTCTGTGTCATTTTGGCTCAATAATCACCAGCCACATCATAGTGTTAGGGAGCCAAGCTCCCCCTATTGGCCTGTGATAAATCCTCATTCATGCATTCATCCATTTATTCATTCACAGATTTACACAATGCTCACTGATTACTCATTAAACAAAAATCAAATCATACCAAAAAGTCTTTCTGATATTGTCCATTATTCAATTATTTCTTTAATTCTTATCTCAGTCGCTGAAGATATTAAAAATACATTCTAATACAGAATTTATAAAGGTACATGAGATATTTCAAGTGAAAATTTTGATGCACAGATTGGCTTTATAGTGCCTCACCCTCCCTGGGGAATGATGATGTGGGGATTGGGTGGGGGGGCTGGGGGACTGGTGGAAGGACAAGGGAGGAGGGGTGGGAGAGGGAGCTGGGATTGACATGTGAAGCATTCATGTTTCTATTTTAAAGAAAAACATATTGAGGAAAAATAGTGCTACAATTTTATCTTACATGTCAGCTATATGGAGGATTATATATTGAAGGTCCCAGCTGATGCTGGTATTGGGAGGTTGCAGAATCTTTAGGAAATGGGAAGTAATAGAAGGAAGATATGTCCATTAAGAATAGTTACTGATCTTGCAGAGGACCTGAGATCAGGTCATAGTACCAATGTCTGAGAAGCTCAAAACCACCAGTTCCTGGTGATCTGACATCCTATTTTTGACTGTGCAGGCACAAGTCTGCACACAGACACACATGCATACACATAACTAAACTAACTAAATAGATAATCTTTCAAACAAAGTGCCAGATGTAGTGTTGCATTCTAATAATCTCAGTTCTGGAGAGGCAAAGAAAGGATTACAGGGGGTCCCTGACCAACCAGCCTAAACTAACTTGTAAGATCCAGACCAAGGAGAATTCCTATTTCAAAAAAGGTAGCCAACCCTCATGAAAGTGACACTTAAGTTGATTCTCCAGCTTTAACACACACATGCACATTTTTGTATGTGTACTGGCATGGGCACATGATCCAACAGACCCAAGAATATACATACAGACACTCACACACATGCACATGCGTGCACAAGCATATAAAGTTTTAATTTTAAAATGAATTTAATTACATTCAACTTCAGAGATGTGGTTGTGTTGTAAAACAAGACACTTTGGGTGGGTCACATTACAGTCTGGCTGGTAAAGTTACACTGTACTAAGTAGACATTTTGAAACAGAAAGGGACAGTTGTATTCCTATCCATAGAAGACCCTGTGAATATAAAGCAAGAAGACAGTCATTTGCAACCACTAAAACACAAATACAAAAAAAGAAAGAAAAAACAATGAAGAGCAAGAGTATGGATGCTACTTTGTATTCTGCTGCAGCAGTAAATTACAAACTATGGAGGTACATAGACAAGTAAGAAAGCTCTGTGGCATAGAAGTGCCTTGACTAAAGAGTTGAGATGGAAAATGTCAAGGAAACTTAGATTGTATTCCAAATTATGATGGTAATTAATGTAACTCCTCACATTACTAATACAGTTTGATGGAAGAGATTAGCAATATAACTGACATATATCCAGACATCTCTAACCAAATGTGAGAGTTAATACGTTCCAACAGCACAATGATCCATATAACTCTTAGTTATACTCATGTTTATTTTTAGCATTATGGTGAATAGACACTATGCATAGTTTTGTTGGGTAAATCTCACAAATATTTCTTAGATAACTTAGAAACAGAATGAATTAAATTAGTCTACTCAAAGTCACATCATTAAGTTAAGGATTTGGGGTTTCATTTTAAGTGTCAATGGGTTCATAAATATTAACTTATTGGGTACAATAGCACAATGTTCTTATTTGCAGTACATAACAATTATTCATATTCACAAGATTCCCATTAACCCAACTTATTTCACTAAACAATAAATTTTCAAATTAAAGTAAGTCATTTCTTTTTTACAATAGAGAGGTATCATGATATTGTTTTTCTCCCACTCTAAAGCACTAAACTTGTCATTTCCCTTTAAAAATATGTTTTAACTCATTCACTTATTAGAATAAGTAGCAGATATAAGCACTCACAAAGAGAAACAAACAGCTTTAGAATATATTCAGAATGCTTTTTATCATAGACATGGTTTTTTCTTATTTTGGATTCTCCATAGTGTGTTAAAATAGATACACCTGAATTACAGATTGACCATTTCATTCTAAAACAATGACCTGTTACATTGTTGCAGCTGAAAAATCCTTTAGTCCACAATTTGAAACTGGATGAAAGAAGGCATTCACACCATCGGTGTCTTGCATGCATCTGGTCGAAGTTCTGTCATTGTTCTTTCCTTAAGTACAAAATTATACTTACAAAGTGGTGGTCTTTGAGAGAGAAGAAAAGAGAGAAACAATTATTATTAAAGTGACAATCTTTATTTCCTTTTCATGTAAATATTAGAATAGTCTAAATTGGTAACTAGCTAATTTTCCAAAAGGAGGGCGTTGGAACAATAGCGTAGACCTGAATGGACTTGTCTCATCTGTGTTGCGATGACATAGAGACAATGCTTATGAGAGAAAACAATGCTTTCCACTTCTGTCTCTGTCACATCGTGTGCTGCCCACATGGCATAGGACAAACAGTGCTGCTGAAATCAGTCCCCTCCTGAATTTATTTCTTCCATAATGACTACTGCCAAAGATATACAGTGACATATAAGATGTATTTTACCTAAATTCTTTTCTTCAACCCTAGTTTGCTGTTCATTAGAACTGAAACAACATGCCGGGCGGTGGTGGCGCATACCTTTAATCCCAGCACTCAGGAGGCAGACGCAGGCAGATCTCTGTGAGTTCGAGGCCAGGCTGGACCGACAGCCTCCAAAACAATACAGAGAAACCCTGTCTCGTAAAAACCAAAAAAAAAAAAAAAAGAACTGAAACAACAACATGTAACATGCTGTACATTTTAACGAGAGCATGTATACAGTGGCTGAGACTGCTAATAGATTAAACCACTGTGGTTAATTAAGTATCTTGTCTGGTTGCTCATTTAAGGTTTGAAAATAAAAAAGAAAGGGGAAAATGAAACATGGCAGGAATATATATATATATATATATATATATATATATATATTAATCATCCATGGCTACTAAGTGAAGAGAAGTCAAATCAACCACACAGATTATCTTACTTTTATGTGACAAGCTCCAGAGTTACATGTGTTCCTACTCCCTAGCCTGGTGGAAATGCTACTGGGTGCTGTTTTTTTTTTTGTTTTGTTTTGTTTTAACCATGTCTTGTTACATAGCTTAGGTTAGCCTTGAATTCACTTTAAACCTTCTGCTATGTCCTCTGTATTGAGGGACCATAGGCATGAACTACTACAGCTATCAAAATACTTAACAGCAGATTGCATTTGAATTTCTTAATTTTTATAAGGCATAAATTTTATGTTTGCATATAAAATATAAGCACCAATCATTATGGAAATGAATAGGGAACAGTGCTTTCATTTGAAATACTAAAGGCTGCTTTTAACTTTCATTTTCACATTGTGGCCCTATAATTGTGAACTGATACTACTCAGATAGTATAAACATTTTCAGATGCTGGCAGAGGAAGCTTTGATTATGTCATAGCAGATCACAATCTATGCCTCTAGAGACTGGTGATGGCTCATCAGTAAAGGCACTTGCTGTCTCAAGGACTCTGGGGTTTGATTCCCAGAAACAATTTAAGAATTGTAGACAGTTCCAGAGCATCAAATGCCCTCTTCTGGCAACTGTAGGTACTACATGCAAGTAATGGAGGGATACCCTTATAGACAAAATATATACACATGAAATAAATCAAAAATAAAACTTTTTGGAAGGACTGATATCTTTCCTGAGGCTGGGGTTGCTTGGTATTGGCACAACAATAGACAGCTAGACCAATGGAACCAAATTGAAAACCCTGATTTTAACCCACACACTTATGAACACTTGCTTTTTGACAAAGAAGCTAAAACTATACAATGGAAAAAAGAAAGCATCTTCAAAAAACAGTGTTGGCATAACTGGATATTGGGATTCAGAAGACTGCAGATGGATCCATGTCTATCACCTAGCACAAAACTTAAGTCCAAATGGATCAAAGACCTCAACATAAATCCAACCACACTGAAACTCTTAGAAGAGAAAATGGGAGATACTCCTCAATGAGTTGGTACAGGAGACCAGTAGCACAGACACTGAGATTGACAATTAACAAATGGGACCTCCTGAAACTAAGAAGCTTCTGTAAGGCAAAGGATACAGTCAACAAGACAAAAAGGCAGTCCACAGAATGGGAAAAGATATTCACAAACACCGCATTTGATAGAGGGCTGATCTCCAAAATTTACAAAGAACTCAAGAAGCAAGTCTCCAAAACACCAAAGGATCCAATTAAAAGGTGGGGTACAGAACTAAATAGAGAATCCTCAATAGAGGAGGTGAAAATGGCCAAGATACACTTAAGAAAGTACTCAAAATCCTTAGCCATCAGGGAGATGCAAATCAAAATAATTTTGAAATACCATCTTACTCCTGTCAGAATGGCTAAAATCAAAAACATCGAAGACAAATTATGCTGTAGAGGCTGTGGAGAGAGGGGAACACTCCACTGCTGGTGGGAGTGCCAACTCGTACAGCCACTTTGGAAATCAGTATGGAGATTCCTCAGGAAAAAGGGAATCAATCTACCACAAGACCCAGTAATTCCACTCTTAGGCATATATCCAAAAGATGCAAATTCGTACAAGGGCATCTGCTCCACTATGTTCATAGCAGCATTATCTGTAATAGCCAGAACTTGGAAGCAACCTAGATGCCCCTCAACTGAAGAGTGGATAGAGAAAATGTGGTACATTTACACAATGGAATATTACTCCACAGAAAAAAAAACAATGGAATCTTGAAATTTGTACGTAAATGGATGGCACTAGAAGAAACCCTCCTGAGTGAGGTAACCCAGTCACAAAAAGACAAACATGGTATGTACTCACTCATATATGGATTTTAGACATGGATCAGGATAGTGCCAGTCTGCACCTCCACTGACAGAGAGTCTGGGAAACAGGAAGTAACCTAAGAGAGATCTCCATGGTACCCCAGAGAAGAGGCATGAGGCAAGATCTTCTGAACAGATTGGGAACACAGCGAGGGGTGGGGGGAGTGGGAGCTGGGAAGAAGAGAGGGGGAGAAGAGGAAGAGAGAGTAGGTCATGGGGGAACAGGAAGGTTGAGTGGGGGGGTAGAATAGGAGGAAGAGGGAATCATAGGTTAGAAGACAGATCTGGCACCAGTGAGACCTCTAGTGATCTAAAAGGATGACACCAATTGGCAAGCTAAGCAATAGTGGAGAGACCACCTCGAATGCCCATTCCTGATAATGAACTTGATGTCTATAACCATCCTAGAACCTTCATCCAGTGACTGATGGAAGCAGAGGCAGACACCCACAGTTAAACACTGAACTGAACCCATGGAACCCAGTGACAGAGAGAGAGACGATCAATGAGCAAATTGCCAAAGAATGGGCTGGCAAAACCAGCAGAGACAGCTGACCTGAACAGGGGAGAGATCTTGGACCACAGACTGATAGCTGAGAGGCCAGCATGGGACTGATCCAGATGCCCTGAGTGTGAGAGTCAGTGAGGAGGCCTCAGCAACCTATGGGGCCCTGGGCAGTGGATCAGTGTTTATCCCTGGCATACAAAGTCACTTCCTGTGTCCATAACACAAAGAGGATGCTCTCTGTCTGGACTCTTAGGGGAGTGCCTGGACCCTGCCCAGAGTGAAATGACAGACTCTGGATATCCCCTATGTGGAAGGAAGTGGCAATAGGGTGGGAGGTTTGTGGGGGGAATGGTGGGGAGGGTGCGGGAGGAGGGGAGGGAGAGGGAACTGGGATTGACATGTAAAATATGCTATTTAAAATTAAAATAATAAAAAAATGAAAAAAATAAAACTTTTTAAGAACTAGAGAGAAGTTGAGGAAATGTTTGGAGATCCTCAAAAACACAAATTCTCACTATATTCAGCTGTACTTTTGCATGGATATGTGTTCAACACTTGAATTTCTTCTGCCTAGTTTTACACTATATTTATATTGAAAATGTGTCAGATCTACAATTGAAAAAGTTGCCTCAGCTACTTGTCATTTATTTTCTTTTAAAATAGAACAGAGTTTCACAAGCTAATCACTCTGGATCAGTGCTGACACGTAGAATTTATATTTTAACATATACAATATTTGTCTTATTACATAACCTTCCCTTTATAAAGTTTGTACAACATTATAAGAACAGTTTAAACAGATGTATGAGGCCTGCCAACCTTCAACCTTGCCAATATATATATAAAAGTTTGTCATGACTCTAATTTTGAAGTCTTTTATTTCATGTAATTAATGGTCCTTCTTTCTTATGAAAATGCTATTTCAAAGTCAATGTATATTTGCTAAAACAACTTAAAGAAGGAAAGTTTTTATATATTTTTAATTTTAGCATGCACATTGAATAGCATATTTCTAATACTTTGCTTATTACAGATTAACACAAAGGAAAATATTACATTGATAAAAGCAAACTTTATTAACAATGGAAGTGATTCAAAGATAACATCTAGAGTTAAATCTAATCTAGTTTTAGCTGTAATCCATAAGCATAAAAACATAAAAAATAAGAAATACATTTTGCTTAATTTAAACATCTTTCTGAGACTTTTGCATTATCTATCAAATCAACTTCTCTAACGTTCTTTTGTAAAGTGACTTAAAGAATTATTTTTAAGCATTAACACAGAGACGGAAATATACCTGATGCTAACTGCCAGACAGGGATAAATTCATGACTTACATGTCACTGGCTAGGTAAGTTATGCTTGCAAGGTGGAAGTAAACAAATCTAGGTTTAATATTTCTCCAGGTCTGCCTAGTACACCCTGAAACCAGGTTTTCTAAAGAACATCTGCCCAAACATAAATTAATAGCTTCTTCAAAACCAGACTCAAATTTATTTACAGAAATTTTGCATTTATAAAATATATTTACAGAGCATCCACTATGATAAAACACACAATGTCTAGCATTTAATCCAAAAAGGTAGGGATACAGATAAGGTTCAGTGGGAGAGAATTAGCAGACAGGACCCTTGGATCAAAGATCAGCACCAAATACAGGAAGCAAACAAATAAATAATGAGGCGTGTGCAGCCCTGGTTATTCTCTTTCTGGCTTTAGAAGTAATTTGCTGGCAAGCAAAAGAGGAAGAGATTTAACCTATTAAAACAATCCGCAATATTAGCACAACATTAGTAAACAACACAAATGTACTCTATTTGTTAGTATACCTTAATT